CATCTCCATGAAGTCGGTAACTAAGCAGGGCTGTGACGAAGGCTGCCTGCCGGCTGATATTCCTGGAGGATGTTCTTAATAAGAAAAATAGATTTAAACAATGTATCTTTTTAAACGTCGATTTCCGCTACCATGTGACAGTTTCCTCTCTGCCCTTCAGGCTAATCCTCCCTTAAAGGGGTTCTAAACCCTCCGTTTTTTTTTTGCTTATATCTGCTGCTAGCAAGCAGTAGATATAGGCAAGAAGTGTTAAAAAAAAACCGCTTAAAATCATTTTAAACTTACCTCGTTATCGCCGCTCGCTCCCACGCCGAGAATCAGGAACTGCTCGTACGGCCGCAAAGGATCTTGGGGCGGGCGCATGCGCAGTTCCGATTCTCGGCCGGGAGACGAGCAGAGACGCAAGGTAAGTCTATGGACGCGTGCACCCACCTGCAGACACCGCTGGATCGGAGAGACAGAGCAGTCAGCGCTGGATCGGAGTGACGTCACACCGCTGGAGGGTCGCATGAAAACATGGGGAAAGAAGAGGAAGATCGGAAAAAGAGACATTATTTAAGGTAAGTGCTAACATTTACATGGGGGGGAGGGAAAAAATGTTCTGCCTTTAATATCACTTTAAAGTGACATTAAAGCCTCAGATTTTTTGACATAAAACAATACTGTAATGTGCGCCTTACTCTTTGCTGCTCTTCCTTTTTAATCTGTATCTGTTCTCATGCTGGGCAGAACTTCTGTTTTGCAGCAGACTGCCTTGTCTCTGGAATGGATATATGGTGTCTGTGTGTAGGTTTGTAACCTGAGCCAGCACTACAGGAAGAGGCCCTGAGCTGCAAAGGGAAGTTCTCCCCAAGCATGAGAAGACATGAGGATTTAAAAGGAAGAGCAGCAAAGAGAAGGGAAACTACCATGGATTACAGTAAGGCGCACATTACAGTACTGGTTTATGTTAAAAAATCTGAGGGTTTAATGTCACTTTAATGTACTTCAGGCTGTTCTGTTAAATGCGCGGTCATAGACTCCATAATTATGGAAAATTGGGCTTTGTTTGACTTTTTTTCTTTATTTTTAGACATACAGCCACTACAAAGCAGCACCACATAAATAAAGAAATGCCGCAATTCACATTTATGCAGTTGAACGCGCCTTCGGGGCATCACGCCGCAGCTTCTGAACATTGCAGCGCACAATCATGGTTTGTTTAAATCAGCGGATCTCGACCTGTGTAACCTCAGGACCCACATTTTCTTTGGCCATTAAGTGGTAACCCAAGTCGCACTGCAATGGAACGCACGGCATTGCAGTACCGTGCGTTCTGGTGCGGGCGATTGAACTGTAGGCGGAAGATGTGTTTGGGGTGCCATTACGAGAACTGGGGTGAATCCTCAGCCAGGGATCCAGTGCTGTGCTGTGACGGAGCTCCAGCCATACATACATTACTGGTACAGCTCCCATGCGCGCCCTGTAGAGGTGCCGGGAGCCAGAATGTGACGTCACTCCGGTCCAGGCAGCTCTACAGGGCACGTGGAGGAGCTGTTAGCAATGCACGTATGGATGGAGCTCCCTCGTGGCCCTAGCTCCAGCCCACTCCATCTCAAGCTGACACTCAACGCCAGTCAGCATATTCTGAATGGCAGCTCTGAGTGAGAACTGACAGCGCTGCGCTAGGAGGAGGCTAAGAGACTCTCACCTAGAAAAGTGGAAGGCACACGGCGACCCACTGAACACGGGGTCGCGACCCACTTTTGGGTCACTACCCACCAGTTGAGAACCAGGGGTTTAAATCAATGGCACCATGTGCCAATGGATGGTTTAATTTGGACCTTGTACCTCCACATGCATAATTATTTCCCAGATGCCAGTTACCTTTTTTTTTTTTCCTTTAACCTAAATATACAAGCCCAGCGGATCCAGTGTTGTCACCTTTCGATCCGCTGCCCGGCTGCTTACACACAGCCTGATTTCTTGCATGTGCAAATGGAGCTCTGGCACCAGGTCTTCTAGTTTACATGTTGCAATGGTGTCGGGAGATCTTGTGAAAGTTTGGCACATGCAGGGCTCTGAGATGTGTGATGTATTCCTGGAGATCAGAGGTGGAAAAAGGCCAAGTCACCCTCACATAGATGAGGAGCAAGGAAGCAAAATAGTGAGAACAATTACAAAAAAGGTATTAAGGGAACTCTAGACAACGTCTAGAGTAGGGCTGCAGCTAACGATTATTTTCATAATCGATTAGTTGCCCGATTATTATTTTTTTTCTCCCTCTCTCTCCCTGATAATGAGAATAGTTGCCAACTATTCTCATTATCGATTTAATCAATTAGTTGTTGACGCCCTAGTCTAGAGCAGTGGATGCCGGTGGAATGACATCATTGCTGTAGGTCATTCAGCCCCGTTGACAGCCTTACACATCTACACCGATGAACTGGAGCATTGTGGTCACATGACTGCATAGAAGCTAATTATATGATCAAAGAAAAAGTATTTATTACTTAGCCTACATGTTGGGTGAGAGGTCAGGTTTAATGCACATTTGTTTTCAGATCAGGGGTGGGCAACCTCAGCACTCCAACCAGTGCTGTCCCTAGTCTTGTTACCACCTGAGGCGGGGGGGGAAAGCGGGTAGAGGAGACAGTGCTGCCAGATATGAGAGTGACACCGCCCTCTGCTGGCTCTGCATCTCCCGGCTCTGCTCTGAGCAACCTGGGATGCTCTGGCCGGCGTCCTGCCCAGCTCTTGGCAACCAGTGAGGTCACTGGTTGCCAGGAACTGGGTGGGGCACCAGCCAGAGCATCCCAGGTTGCTCAGAGCTGGGAGGGGAGATGTATATGACCTTAACACATCTCCCCGCCCAGGTCTTAGCAACCTGGGGCGCTCTGGCAGGAAAGGGGACAGCAGGCACACTGCAAACATTGTACAGCAGAGCGGCCATGCTGCTCTGCCTGCTGCCCCCCTATGTGACCCAAAGAGATGCCGCATGAGGCCACAGTCTCAGACTGCCTCATTAAAGGGACAGCCTGGACTCTAGCTGTGGTTAACTACAAATAGCATCATGTCCCTGCCTCTGGGAGTCATACCTATGGCTGTCGGAATCTTGCAATGCCTCATGGGACTTGTAGTTCCACAACAGCTGGTGTACAGAGGTTGCCCACCCCTGTTTCAGATGCATGTTTCTGTCGGCTGGTAATCATCCTTCCCTCAGCGCAGCATGTGATAAGGAAAAACCAGAGGCCACAATATCGTTTATACGCCAGTTTTATCGCCCCTCGATTGTGCGCTTGAAAATCTAATTAAGAATGAAGCTGGAAAAAAAAAAAACTGCGGCCGTTATATTTTCCCCCGGAAAAAGAGGCCACCCCGGCTGTGACTCCTTCCCCGGAGTTTTCATTTTAGCGGCACGCTTCATTTCAGCGCGTAAAAAGATTAAAGCCATCAACTAGCGGAATTGTTACTCGTGTGCTTAATCACAGCGCGCGCTATAAACGATACGCGGCATAAAAGACCCGACGCATCTGGGAGCCGAGCTCAGGCCATGAAATTGGCAGCTGCCGCCATAACCAGAACGCCGCTCTTTGCGTTCCTTTTTATTTTGTTTTTGTGTGTTTGCTCTTTTCTTTTTTTTTACACGTTGTTTGTATTTAACGTTTGGCGGCTCGCAGGGCCGTTCATGACTGCGATATTCTGATGTTCGCCCTCAAACAAAATCTCGGTACACAAAAGATTGTTTTAACACACGGTTAATACAGGAGCGGAGTGCTACGGAGCGGAGCTCAGATTGCCATCGGACACGATGCAGAACCAGAGAGCTCTGCGGGCTCCGGCTAGGAATTTTATAGTATATATCTAAAGCCGAAACGTTTTGTTAATAAAATAGGGAATGTTTCAATCTCCTGTGTCCCAGTTGGAAAAATTACTTTCATTTCCTGTCCTGAAGACAGAACAGGAAGTAAGAAGAATTCTCTGAAAGAAGGGGAACCACTTAGAGAGTTGTCACCTGAGCAGGTGTCCCTGTTGGATGATTTCCCCTCTCTTCATGTTATTAGATTTCCCATCTAATGTTTCCCAGCTCTGTCCAATACGATATAAAAAAGGTTTGGCTTCTAGATATAGTTTTAACACTTTTGTTAATAGTTACATTAAAGGAGAACTATGGGGTCAGTGTTTTTCCGCATAGTTCTCCTAAGGGTCACAGGAGAACACAAACTAGCCCAAAGCTCAGTATACCGCGAGCTACAGATCTCTATATACTGAGACCGCCGCAGCCGGGATGGATCCGACATTACTGTCTGGATCCACCCAGCTGCGTGATTGACAGCTGGCTCTGCCTATCTAGAGGCAGAGCCAGTTGTACCCGCCCCCATCCGTTCCGCCAATAAGCGATGGAGGGGAGGGGGGGGGATCCCTGCAGGGAGCGTTGAGTGACAGTCACGGCTCTCTATCACATGTGTCAGAATGGAAAGCAGCAGCAGGCCAGTGAGCATTCGTTCCCTTATCTCCCCTGGGTAGGCTGAACTTGGAAGTGCTCAGCTCTGAGCACTTCCTGGTTCAGAGTTTTCAATCCTCTGCCACTATAGCCAGGAAAGAAGCTGATCAAGCACAGCCTGTGTTCCATCTGCTTTAACAGAATGTAGAGTTGACATTATGGGACCCCTGATGTCTCAAAGAGAACCTGCCACCCGCAATTTGCTATCTGGTCAGGTCCTTATCATCCCACCTGTGCTAGCAATAAAGTAAAGTTAAAAATCAGCGATGCCTGTTTCATTTTGACCAATTTTCTTCACCAAACATATGAATACATTATCCTTCTTTTAAAAAAACGATTCAGTTGTATTATTTGGAGGACATTAGTGTACAGTTTATAAACCAGCCCCCCAATCCCTCTGAAATCATGCCGATAAAAGTTTCTGACCTCTGCACAGATTAATTTTCTCCTAATTGTTTGCTGCGTGTTTTCTGGACGAATCGCATGGGGGATAAAGCCACATAATCTGCTACAGCAGAACCTTGGTAAGTGCTATTTCCTTCCGGGGGCCCCTGATTACCCATTAAAATGCACGGGGGTCCCATACGGCCGGCTCGGATTGATAACTGATGACATTTGGACCGGTGATATCAGCTGTGCGATCATTTGTCTAAGTTGATTGCGCTGCGGACTACGGTGGTACAGAGCAGTTGTGTGTTAACATAAGCATTTACAGAGACGCCATCTGCCGAGTTGCTGAGCCTCGGAAAAAGTCAAATAATTAGTCGGTACCAAATCATTAATTACAGCACACAGCTTGCTAAGACCAGCAGTTGCTGGAGGCTCAGGATTACTTTACCATGTCGCTTCTTAAGGTTCTGTCACTTCCCATAGATAGGAGGTGCCTTTGCCCCAAACCCCCCCCCCCCCGAAGACCCCGTGGCCCCACAAGCACCGGGAGGACTCT